GGGTGTGAATATGTTGTTTTATGTTCCAAATTGTCAAATGAGGATACATAGAAATCGAGAAAATTGATTGACACTCATTCATGCCATATGAAGTTTAATGTAATGAAGAGGCCTTCAAATACTTAAAGAAGATTTCACCTAGATTTTGGAGTAAGTCTAGATTCAATTATAACAACAAATGTGATGTGTTGGTTAACAATATGTCAGAAACATTCAAAGTGTTATAATTGGACCAAGACCAAAGCATATTGTTACAATGCAAGAGGATATAAGAGGGTACCTTATGGATAGATGGACAACAAATAGAAATAAGATTGCAGCTTATAATGGTTATGTTCTTTCAATAATTAAAAAGGTTTTGGAAAGACAAATTGAAATATCAAGGTTCTATATGGCTAGGTAATTCATTTAATTATTGCACTTATATTATTTCATAATTCTTACTAATTCGATGAAATTTTTATGTTTACAAGGCTTGTTGTGATATGATTTATGAAGTAAGGCACATCAATGTATCAGGAAACAAATTCACAGTTTACATCAAGCAGAAGGAGTGCTCTTGTAGGAGTTGGATGCTAACTAGGATACCATGCTACCATGCAATTGCATGCATCCAAAGTATAGCTGAAGACCATGCAGATTACATTCCTACCATGTATAGGAAGGAGACTTACCAGACTTGCTACATACCTATCATATACCCAACCAATAGACAAAACTTATGGGAAGAGACCCCATACCCCGTCATACTTCCACCACCATTAAGAAGAGCACCAAGGATGCCTAGGAGAAGAAGTTACAAAGATGATGATGAGAAGAGAAAATATACAACAACTGCTAGTAGGAAAGGATTGCCAAATAAATGCTTAGTTTATGGTAAATCTGGCCACAACAAAGCCTCCTGCCCAATTACACCAAAATAATCTGCACCATCCCAATCTGCACCATCCCAAACACAACCATCTCAAAAGCAACCAACTACAAGACTTCAAACTAGGCTATCACCAAGAATAACCCAAACTCAATCAACACAAACCAAGACACAACCAACAAAAAGACTTCAAGTAATGAAGGGCCACACCATTACACTTCAAACAAGAGTATTACCAAGATGAGGGACTGCAACATTTCAGGGACCAACGACAACTTTTCAGCCACCAAGAAGGACAACACCTTAGCTTCCTATAAAGAGAAAACACACTTAGAATGTTTACTGTTATATTTTGTTGAACTATGATCATGTAGTTGTTTTTGTTTTTTTGGCTGACTTAGAAATATGTAATTTGAATCATCACTTTATGTTTTGGATGTCTACTATGTATTTTGAATGGTATTTTGGGTACTTCATGAAATATATTAAGGTCTTTTATGTTTAGTCAATGATGTCTACAATGTCTTTTAAAGTGTAACAAAAAAGGACACAAACTATGTTGATGTCTACTATGTCCTTACTGCAACATAGATTGTGATAGCATACTAAGTGGTTAACCACAGGTTAATTCAGTCTCTTAAAGTGTAACAAATACGTCCTTTAACTATTCTTTAGTGTAACAAATATGTTCTCTAATTATTCATCAGTGTAACAAATATGTTCTTTAACTCTTCTTTAGTGCAACAAATATGGGCATAAACTATCTCGTTACTGCAACAAATTTGGGCAACATAAAATTTGACAGACAAATTGGGCACAAAATAAGCATCACATTAAAGAAGTTCATTACAACCACACATTAACAAAATGTCTTAAAACACTAACATCAACATAAACCATGATCACCACTTATTGATCAACATACACATCAACATTACAATAATCACAACTAAAAACATTATGACAAAAACTAGCATCTTCAACATGTTCTTCATCATCTCTTTTGTATAGTAGTCATCTCCATGGATCTTCATATTTTTTCTACAATATGTTAATTTCTCCGTCCTTTTCATCGCATTTTAAACATCTCCTTTGAGTGTTGATTTTTGTTTTCTCTTCACCATTGAACTCTTTTTCAACCCACTCAAAAACGTTGCAACCACGGTTTGAACCTTCACTCTGTTAACATCTAACAGTTAACATTATCAATAAGACATAACAGACAATAGTAATAAACTTATCACAAATTTTTTGTAGCCCCAAAAATGTTTCCCAAAATTTCGCCAATTCTTCCTCACTATTCGTATCACGGTCTTTGCTCCACAAACACATGTTGGTTCAATTTCACCATGACTTGCACTCGAAATCAAGGAATTACAGTTAGGGCTATGTGAATTTGACAAATTAGTACCGTATGAAGCCATTGTTGGAGAAAGTAAGAGAAGAAGTCGTTGGGTACTAATACATATATTATATGGATTTGATGAAGAAAAAAGACACTTTTTCCCAATTATTTTAAGTAATATTCATATATTTGCCATCTCAGCAACGTAACAGCCACGTAGGCATCGTTGATGTCAGCGCTGCATTTTCAAAATAAAATAATTAAAAAGAACAACGTTGTAGACGTTATGCAACTTAAAGGACTGACATATAGCGAAAAATGTAAAGGATCAACCTATTATAAATAAATATCTTAAAGGACCCCTGAAGTAATTTTGCATATTCTCTTTTATTTTATAAATTCAAACAACAAATTATAATCATTCTTCTCATTAAAATTAAATTGTAGAATTTTTTTTATAAATAACTCATATTTTGTACATATCATCAAGCTCGTCGCATATAATTAAATTAAACTAATATTTCTGTAAAAGGGAGGTGGATGCACATCCACCATACTCCCGAGTATTTGGTTGATTAGTGCTCGTCGCATCGTCAATTACTTAAATTTAAAATATTTAAAATCAAACATAACTCATCAATTTCTTTTGCCCTTGAGCACCTATCTCAATTTAAAACTTTTCATAAACTAAAGTCAACCAACACACAAATTTTTTTTCTCGAACTACGAGGCTTTGAATCTCTCATTGCAACTGAGGGTACATAGGAGCGGGGTTTTAAAATCCCGTCGAGCACAATAATAATTTTTTTTCCTTTTTCTTTCGTAAATAATCTTCGTTATTTTAATAAATAAATAAAGTAAAATAAACACCTGCAAGCAAACCCTTTAACCATAGGACTAGAGAAGATTTTTGTTGAGTATAATGGATGCAAGGGGTGCTTGTACCTTCCCCTCACATAACCAAATCCCGAACCCTAATTTGGTTGTGACGACCATCTTATACCTTTGCTTTCCTTAGGGTTTTATCGTTATTTCTCTTTTTCTTAGGAATATATAAAGAACGATAGCGACTCTACTAGTCATCCGTGAGTGTGCGGCGCACTAGCTAGATCGTATTTTTTTGATATGCGATACTTGTAACTTTTGATGAATCTAGCCTCTATAAGGAGGATATAGTTGTGTGTGTGATGATGATGATATTTTAGAAGTTCTTATGGAAGACAATGCTAAAGATGATAATATTGAACAATCCAGACACCAAAAAGGAAATCATTCAACATGAGAAGAACCAATATGATCTTCCTCAAGAATGGAAAACTCGTAGACTCGTAGAGATCATTCTATTGAAAACATCATTGGAGATACAAGAAACACACCAAGAAACACAAGAAAACCAATTTCTCTTCGCATATGTGCTTTTGCTTCTCAAACCAAAACCGACGACACGCAAACACAGTTACTATAAAAATTGAACAAAAGATTTCCTATTTGATTCGAACTGGTAGACTGATTGATGCGAGGGCACTGTTTGATTCCATTAACCACCGAAATACAATTACTTGGAACTCCATGATCAACGGATACGTTCAACGGAGAGAGATAGCTAGGGCACGCCTGTTGTTTGATGAAATTCTCCACAAGGATGTCGTGTCTTGGAACCTAATTACATATGGTTACGGTTCTTATCGCAGAAGCCAGATTGTCGAAAAAGGAAGAAAGTTGTTTGATCAAATGACTCAAAGATATTTTATCTCTTAGAAAGTTGTTTGATTAAATGCCTCAAAGAGATTTGGTCTTTTAGAACACTGTTATTAATGGCTACACCAAGAATGGGAGGATGGATCAAGCTCTTAAATTGTTTAACTCTATGCCATAATAGAATGTTGTGTCTTGCAATGCTATGATGTTACTTTAGTTAGAGGCACTATTGTTAGTTTCATCAGTAATAATAGTATTTCCTCCTCCAACACCGTTGAAGAAAGCACAAACAGCAGCCATATTGAGAAGAAGAAGATGAATATTGGGTAGAGAATGTTTGAGTTCAATTTTAATAAGTAAATTAACATGTGTTAATGTTTTTTTTGGTTCCAAAGTTACAAGGAGATAACATTGTAAAGATTGAGACACTTTAAGAGGAAAATAACCATGTGTTAACGTTGTTGTTGGTTCCAAAGTTTTAAGGAAATAAAAAGATTTTTGGTATGGACTTTTGCTCTGTAAAACACTTTTTTTTTTGAGGAAGTTTGTAATGTCTGCAATCGGTCACGTCAATTATTATTAGAGCAAATAGATGGTAGAGATCAAAATTGTGGATAAAAATATTTAGAAAAGTTATTAATTGAAAGAAATTTTTATAAAAACTAAAACTAAAATTTATTTTATCTATAAAAGACTAAAAACATATTTAACCTTGTTTTTAGATATTTTTTTTACTTACAATTGAGATGAAGAGGAGTAATCATACATATAAATAAATGGAAATTGTAGTATAGCTTTTGTACCTTTCAATTCTTTATATCTTTCAACAAGTTATGAAGTTGGTTTTAGTTTTACTATATGTCACATATTAAGACCTAAGCCAAATCCCTCTTGCAGAAAATTTTGAACAGGACCAAGTCAATAAATATTGCTCGGTCTCCTATATCTTTGTTTTGATTCTGACTTTTCTATTTCTCTATATTATATAAACACCACCACCTACACATTCTATATATCAATACCAAAACACAAATATACACATAAATAAACTATACTACCATTCAAAAATTATATATTTTTCATTTCATGGCTTTGGCCTCCATACATACCTCAACATCATTCTTTTCTTCATCTTATGTTCCTTTAAGAAGATCAGTAAATGGTGCAATCCATGTCCCCAAAACCAATAATATCTCAGTTCCTAAGATTCCTAGAAAACATGTCGAGGGATTATCAACATTTACAGATCAAAAGAATGTTATAACCAACACACATAATTTTCAACATGGTTTGTCGGATTCTACTGTCACCATGCAACTTTATGCTATCTTAGATTCTGTATCTGACAGAATAGAAATGCACAACAACCTCAGTGAACAACGTCAGAATTGGAACAACCTACTCTTAAACAATATCAACATGATCACACTCACTGCTACAACATTAACCGGTGTCGCCGCGGCAACCGGTGCTATGGGGGCACCACTTCTGGCTCTTAAACTGTCATCCACTCTTATGTTTTCAGCGGCAACAGGTTTGCTTCTTATCATGAACAAGATTCAGCCTTCGCAACTCGCCGAGGAACAACGAAACGCTACAAGATTGTTTAAACAGCTAAGGGCTAAGATCGAAAACGGAATTTCTCTTGGAAATGTAACGGAACATGATGTGAAGTGTTTGGTGGAGAATGTTTTGGCTCTTGATAAAGCTTATCCTCTTCCTTTATTAGGTGTTATGCTTGAAAAGTTTCCTGCGAAATATGAACCTGCTGTTTGGTGGCCGAGAAAAAGAAAAGAAGGAAATACAGAAGAAAGAAAGATGAAGAAGGGAAATAATAATAATAATGGATGGAGTGAGGAACTTGAAATGGAATTGAAAGAAGTTATTGGAGTTGTGAAGAGGAAAGACATTGAAGATTATGAGAGACTTGGGAGTATAATATTGAAGGTTAACAAGAGTTTAGCAATAGCAGGTCCATTACTCACTGGAATTGCAGCTATAGGTTCAACATTTGTAGGAAATGGTTCTATTGCAGCTATAGTTACTGTTATGGCAGGTTCATTAGGTGCTGTAGTGAATGCTTTTGAACACGGTGGACAAATTGGTATGGTGTTTGAGTTGTATAGAAGCTGTGGTGGATTCTTTAAGCAGTTGGAAGAAAGTGTGGATGAGACGTTGGAAGAGAAAGATTATGAGATGAGAGAAAATGGAGAGATATTTGAAATGAAAATGGCTTTGATGTTGGGAAGAAGTGTTTGTGAGATGAGACAACTTGCTTTGAAATCTGTGTCTTGTAGGATGGAAGGAATTGAGGTTGATGAATTTGGTAGCAAGTTGTTTTGATTGCGTGTGATACAAGGAAACTGATGAAGATGAATTTCAATTAAACGTAACATTGATTCATTAACTTCATGTTTTTTTGATATAAAGTAAAAACATGTTATTTTATTTTTTTATGTACAAATGTTTATTTGGTATATAGAAAGGAAAGATTAGTTTTAGATTAATAATTGAAGGAATGTTCAAAAGTTGGACTATTATGATATATAAGAATTTATTTCTTTGGTAGTCTTGAAATTTTTTGTTAAAATTCAACTCTATAGAATTAGATGGATTAGTGTTGGTATTATCCTACTTAAAATACCTTTTGTACCCGTATGGACTGACGGGTTCATTCAATGGTTTAATGAGAACGCTAACTCCATAAGGAGATCAAGAAATGTTGGATTAAGACTAGGTATTAAGGATGTTACTATCTCAAGACACATATCTAAAAGTAGAAAGTTCTCTCAGTTTGAAATCTTAGAATTGAACTACAAAGTCTAAGGCATTGCCTCAAAATTTAGGTAGACATTTTATTACTCTAAAACATCCTCAAATTAGACTAATCTATCGAATATGAATCTATCACTACATTAATAATTACTACATCAATAAGTTTATCGGTTTCACACGTGATCATCGATAATGTAATCATCGATAATGAAACACGTTTTAACAACATTTTTTCACAATTATAAATAATATATTTTATGATAATATTTTAACTTTATCCAATAAAAAATCGAGGTATATAAGTTGTAGACACGTCATGCTTTTTTTCTTCAAAGTAATACCAAATATTCATCGGTTGTTGTAGATAACTGAAGGGTAAACTAATTTTTGATATATGCTTCAAATCTCAACAACTACGGTTTCTGTTTTTATTTCATTAAAAATGATACATTTTTGTAGAGAAAAACAAATGTGTATTGGAAGTGTTGAGAAACAAATGTACGAACTCTCACATTGATTAGAATAGTGGAGACTTGTGATTTAATAAATTAAAAAATTCAGACACCTATTACCCTAAGATTTTGGGTGAATATGTGGTGTATCTCTCATAAAATGTGTTGCTAATAAAGAAAAGTCTTAATGTAAACATTCTCCGTCATGATGGTCCCCAAATTAATGACATTACAAAATAGATGACTCAATAATGATATCTAGAGTCGTTGGTTCGAGTGAAGGATCGACTCACATATATCGAAAGTTATTCAACATGGTGGTGGGTAGGAGGCATGCCCCATTAGAAAAGTGTCAACAATGATACAAGTCTGTGTGGATGAAAGAATTTCTACTTGAGGCAGAAAATTGTGGATAGACTCACACTTAAGACGAGTGTTGAGAAAAACAAGTGTGAGTTAGAAGTGTTGAGAAGCAAGTGTGGGAAAGTCTCACATTAATTGAAAAATGGGAGATTGAACACTTTATAAGTGAGAGAACCCACACACATATCACCTTAAGATTTTTAATAAATATGTGGTGTGTGTCTCACAAGGTGTGTTGCTCATAAGAAGTACTCCAACAAAAAATATGCTATCTACCCCAAATTGATGACCCAACCATTTTATTTTATTTTATTTTTATTTTATTATTAAATAATATATTTTTTCGGTTAAAGGTTGTGGAGTTAGGTAGCTGTCACATAAATGTCTGTTTATTTTGTCTTTTTTTAAATGATTTTTGTAGTGTAATATAATTTTGTGTAAAACAAATTTATAAAAAAACTTTTCATAAAAGTTTTAAATAAAAATTTGGTTTGAATAATTATTTTTAAAATGCTGTTTTAAATATTTCATTATTTTATTAAAACTTTTTTTGATATCAAAAATTTTAAAATTTACTTAATTTTAAAACTATTTTAAATTATTTTTCATAAAAATCATTTTTGAGATACAATTTTTTTAAAAAAAAAATTACAATTTCAACTATGTTTTGATTTTCAATAATGTATGTTTATGCTATACGGTGTCAAAATTAGTCTTTCAATTTTTAAAAAAATTAATATAAATTTTTTTGTAATATTTAAAAAAATAGTTTTATAAAATTCATTTTTAAGAATACAAAGAAAATATCCATTTTCTTAAATCTGAAACAAACAGGTTCAAAACCATCTTCTTTTTTTTCAACCAAAAAGTGCTGGAGTGAGTTTCACACAAAAATGTCACTTATTTATTTATTTTTGATAAAACATAATTAGTTCTATAGAATTAGATGGATCAAATTTTAGGTACATATTTTCTTACCTAAAATACCTCTTAATTCAGATAGTTGTTGACTTAGGTGTTGGAATATTTACATATACATCCTAAAATAAAAAGATGAATATTGGACTGAGAATGTTTGAGTTTTTTGTGAAATGGTGCTCAAGAAAATTGAGTATGATTAGTTTTTTGATTAACAAGAAAATTACAAAGTAAAAGAAAAGAGATAAGAAAGAAGAAAACAATTCAAAGTGGTTAAAAATTAGATTCTTGATTCAATTACACGTTAAAAAACAATGTTTACAATTGAATCTCAACCACACCATTTTCTCCCTCTATTAGGATTATCATAGATTGATTAAGAAGTAATGACTAGTATGTTATTTATAGAAAAACTAAATCCTAGATTCCAACTAACATATTAAACAATTGGTCCAACAGACTAGCTCAATTCAACATGCTAACTTAAACAATAAGCTAACATATTTCGGCAACTACACTAGCTCTTCAACTTCGACAAAGTTGGCTACAACACTTGCTTATAATCCAAAAGCTACAGATCTCCACCTTGGAACAAACTCTAAATCTTAAACCAACTAGATATCATCATGCAATCCTATCAACTGCATACAGTGGAAAAACTTGTAACTTGGCAATGTCTTGGTGATCATATCAACAGTATTGTCAACAGTCAAAATCTTCAGCACTTGGACTTCACCATGCTCGAGTATCTCTCTGACAGAATGCAACCTCACATTGATGTCTTGGTTCACTTATGATAGGATGAATTCTTTGACAGATCTATTACACTTTGACTATCACATTTAACAGTGATAACTTGACCTTGAACTTTCAAATCCTTAGCATAACCTTCAAGTTATAATGCTTCTTTCACAGCTTCAGTGAGGATAATATATTCTGCTTCAGTGGTTGATAGGGAAACAACATTCTAAAGTTTTGCCTTTCAAATTATTGGTATGCCAAACACAGTGAACACATATCCATAAATAGATTTTATGGAGTCCATACAACCTGCATAATCAGATTTGACAAATACTTCAATTTCAACTTTGCTATCATCACCACAGACTCCACCATAAATCAGGACTCTGCTCATAGACCAATTTATGTACCTTAGAATCCACTTTAATGCTTACTAGTGTGTCTTTTTATTACTGGTCATATACTTGCTTACAAGACTTACTCTGTACGTTATGTTTGGCCTAGTACAGAACATAACATACATAAAAAAAACCTACTATATTAACATATGAAATGTTATTCACATAAGCTCTTTTGACTTCAGTACAAGGACTTTGAGTCGAACTCAACTTGAACTGAGGATTAGTCAGTGTTACAACAGAATTTAAACTCGACAGAGTTCAATTTGAATAAGTAAAATACCATGTGTTAATGTTGTTGTTGGTTTCGAAGTTACAAGGAGATAAAGTTGTGAAGATTGAGACATTCTAAGAGGAAAAAAACATGTGTTAATGTTGTTGTTAATTCCAAAATTACAAGGAGATAAAATGATTCTTAGTGTGGGCGTTTGCCCTGCAAAACACCTTTTTTAGGGAGGTTTGTATTCCCTCATAATTTAATAAATTTCTTTGCAGTCAAGTGCAACATCAGCTTCCGTTAGAGCAAATAGACGGCAGAGACTAAAATTATGGGTAAAAAACTTTAGGAGAACTATTATTTGAAAGTAATTTTTATAAGAACTAAAATTGAAATCAGTTTATTTATGAGAACTAAAAAAAATGTAATCGTAAGTTTTATGTTGGTGTTTTTAGATATTTGAAAAACTTTATTTCAAAATAATACCAAATATTTCCTTGGTTATTGTAAATAATCGAGAGATAAACTAATTTTGGGTACATACTTCATATACTAACAACAGTAGTTTCTGTTTTTATTTCTTTAAAAGTTGTACATGTTTGTAGAGAAAAACAAGTGTGAGGTTGAAGTGTTGAGAAATAAGTGTGGGGAAGTCCCACATTGATTAGAAAATTGGAGACTTGAGCATTTATAATTCAGAAAACTCACACACCTATTACCTTAAGATATTTGGTGAATATGTGGTGTGTCTCTTACAATGTTTGTTGCTCATAAAGAAAGACCCTAATATAAAAATTCTCCTTCATGATGGTCTAAAATTGATGACCCAACAGTGGTATCTAGAGATGATGCTTTTGCTTGGAAGGGAGTATTATGGATAAACTCACACTTGAGATGGGTGTGTTACTCATAAATAATATATTCCTTCGGTTAAATTTGGTATCTAGACCACATAAAGGTCTGTTTATTTTCTTTTTCTTTTTTTTTTTATAAAAAAATGGATTTTATAGTGTAACATAAATTTGTATAAAAAAAATTTACAAAATTTTTTTTCATAAAAGTTTCAAATGAAAATTTAGTTTAAATAGTTATTCTTAAAATGTTATTTTAAATATTTCATCATTTTATTAAAACTTATTTTAGATATCAAAATTTCAAAAAAAAATCATTTAATTTTGAAGTTATATCAAATTATTTTTCATAAAAATCATTTTTGAGATACAACTTTTTTAAAAAATTACGATTTCGACTATGTTTTAATTTTTCAATAATGTATATTTATGTTATAAGATGTCAAAATTAATCTTTCATTTTTAAAAAAAAAATGAATACGAAAAAATCTTGTAATATGTTTTAAAACATTTTTATAAAATTCATTTTAAAAAAAAAAATCATTTTCTTAAAGCTGAAACAAAAAGGCTCATAAATATTTTTTTTCCAACCAAAAATGGCTAGAGTGAGTTTCTAACACAAAAATAT